GTTCCACAAGGCTTCGTGCTATCACCAACACTGTTTCTTTTGTATATCAATGATATGTTGCTGCAAGCTGGTAACATTTATTGCTATGGTTATTTCCGTTATATATATTCATTACACCGGCTGTGTCAATATTTCTCAGGAAAATGTCACCGGGTACCGGAAAAAACTTGTCTCTGAACACGAGACTTTGCTGAACATAGGTTTGGATTGGGGCGACTAAATCTAGTTCAGTTCAACCCCTAGAAGATATAAGTTTGCGTGTTTACCGCTAAAAAGAACCTCTTTGTCGTATCTCCTCAGTTTCAAGACACTCCCCTTGCTGCCTCAGCTAGCATCGGAATCCTCGGCAGTGTGCAGTTTCGTGGTCACTAGCAAGTGAAGGCCAAATTGGCCTCTAAAAAGCTTGGCGTGCTCAGCAGCAGAGCGAGACAGTATTTCATGCCGGCACGTCACTTGCAACTTTACAAAGCGCAAGTTCGACCTCAACATGGAAGTCCAAAGCTGACCTTTTAGGCTCCCTATTTGCGTCCAACTCGACTTTTGATGACGGGGGGAACACACCGCCGACCATCCCGCGGTTTAAGTGCTCCATGCGCGATGTACGGTTCGCACAGCGCTCGATTCGTAAAGCACTTCTCTCACTGGACATTCACAAGTCGAGTGGGCCTTACGGAATACCCCCAATTGTGCTGAAGACGTGTGCTCTGGAATTGGCACCGGTTCTAACGCGTCTTTTCCGGTACTCCTACTCCCTAGGCGTAATCCCGAAATCATGGAAGACAGCTTTTGCCCATCCAATCCCTAAAAAGGCGACCGCTCAGACCCGTTCAACCACAGGCCTTTCGCCATCACCTCCTTGTTCTCCAAAATAATTGAATCCATTATAAACTGCCAGCTCATGCGGTTTTAGTTGGGGTCGATCAGCTGGTGATCTTCTTTTCTACCTGACTTGTAGATGGGCGGAAGCAGTAGAGTCCAAGTTTGGACATTGCGAAGGCCTTCGATTGGGTTTGGCACAAAGCGCTTCTTTCGAAGCTCCCTTCCTGTGGGCTTCCCGAGAAATTGTGCAATTGGATCACCAGCTTCCTTGGAGATTGGAGCATCAAGGACGTTGTAGACGGCGCATGCTCCGATTACAAACCTATTATCGATGGTGTTCCACAAGGCTGTGTGCTATCAACAACACTGTTTCTTCTGCATATCAATGATATGTTGCAAACTGGTAACATTCCTTGCTATGCGAATGACAGCACTAGTGATTCTCTACACCGGCCATGCCAATATTTCTCGGGAAAACGTCGCCGAGTACCGGAACAAATTTGTGTCTGAAGTCGAGTCTTTAATGAACAAAGACTCGGATTGGGGGCAACTAAATCTAGTGCAGTTTAATCCTCAGAAGACACAAGTTTGCACGTTTGCTGCTAAAAATAACCCCTTTGTCGTATCTTCTCAGTTTCAAGGCACTCCTCTTGTATTCTCAGCCAGTATCGAAATCCTCGGCGTCGACATATCGAGTAACGTGGAGTTTCGTGGCCAATTGGAAGAGATCCAAATCCAAGGCCAATTCGGCCTCTAAAAAGCTTGGCGTATTCAGCAGAATGGGAATGTATTTCATGCCGGCACAACGCCTGCAACTTTACAAGGTGCAGGTTCGGCCCGACATGGAATACTGTTCCCATCTCTGGGCCGGGGCACCCCAGTGCCAGCTCCTTCCATTTGACCGCATCCAGCGGAAAGCTGTTTGAATCGTCGACGACAGAGTTCTTTCTGATCGGCTCGATACACTGGCGTTGCATAGGGATGTTGCATCTCTTTGCATTTTCTATCGAATCTACCACGGAGAGTGCTCTGAGGAATTATTTTGATTAATTCTTTCCTTTTTTATTAATTATTCGGAGTTTTCTTCCTCTTACAACTTTTCTGTGGAATTGTTGACCACCGGCGATTTTTCCGGACCGATGCGACTTAGAGACCTTCAAGAAAAGAGCTTACACTTTTCTAAAAGGCCGGCAACGCATCTATAAATCCCCTTGTGTTGCGGTTGTTGATGGGCGGCGGTAGTCACTTATCGTCAGGTGAGCTGCATGCTCGTTTGCCCTCTCTTCTATAAAAAATAGCAACACTACCCATCTCACTGTATCACGGAACAGCTTTTCAGCAATACGATAATCCTTGCCTGCACCTAAAAGAATTACTAAAACGGACAGAACCACGATAGTGTTATTCTACGAGTCTTTGCTCTCGTAGAATGAGGCGGAATCTCTCACGCATGGCGGTGCCTATAGTGAACTTTATAGTGCACAAGCGAAAGAGGGTTTCTCGATATACCCTCAATTCTACCACGCCACCATCGATATGCCAATCTGCTAGTGATGCACCTCTCGCTCACAGTCGATCCATGTGGTATTTTATAGATGCGTCGATATGGCTGATCTTGATTATAGCACGTCTCCGTGCGGTTGGTAGTTGACCATCAGCACACGTTCTATCAGTCATCACGCCTACAAACAGATATTGACACTTGTTAAATATTACATACTCGACCATACCTAACTCCACTAAGGTTGATAGAAGTAGACCTATCTGGGCGTCAAGGCCCCCCTGAATCAGCAACTCAACCCAGCTATCTGACACTCTAAACGTGAACAGGTCGCCCAGGGCCCCTTCTCAGACTACCAGAAGTTACTTCAACCATGGACCGGGCATCCGCAACCTCTACATCGTCACACTAGAAATCATATAACACTCCGTGGTCCAGGCGTACGAAGGCCTCATCCAGCTGCTCCAGGCTATATGCGGCATGGATCGGGCGAAAGAGGCCCCTTCATCCAGCCACCTCAGGCAATATGTAGCATGTACTGGATGCGCAAGACCCCTTCATCCAGCTACCGCAGGCTATATGCGTCGTGGATCTGGCGAATGAGGCCTTTTCGTCCAACCATCTCCCGACTCAACGTAAAAAATATGTACTAGGCGTTTGAATCCCTTCAAACATTGGCCCAGTACTGCATATAGATGGACGGGGCGTACGAGGCCCTACTTTCCAGCTTTCACACTATGATTGTTATTGCACATGACTCCACACACGCCGTGTGCGGTGAGCGCCAACTAATCAACGCGCTCACCGAAAGAGGGATATTAAGTCGGAAACTGGATTGTAGTCCACAGCAAAATAACTGGCGATCCAGTAAAAGAGGGCTTGGCGCCTTGGTAGTGCGTAAGTACAAACATCGACCGAAGTCGCGCATGTTAATGCGTGTAAACGTCACACAGAATACGATCAAATCCAGCCACAGGGAATGTATGTGACACGGTTTAGGCAACACGTCGAATAATAGGCACACTTGCCATAAAAATCCCTCCGTGAGCGCCGCCATCTGCCAGACTGCCGCTCCTGCAGACGTGATATAAGTGCAAGGCATCATCACCAATTGCATAATCAGCACGGCTTCTAGCGCAGAGCGCTACCGCTCACCTCAAGGGAATGGGGTCCCACGTTGAGCAGCTTTCGGCCGCAGCCTTCAGAGTCTCCTTCCTACAGCTACCACTCGCATTAGGTCGACGCATATGCTCCACTAACAAAAACAACGGTAGGTATAGCCAATAGGCAGTTATAAGATAATAATAATCAAAATAAAAAAAGTCCCGCTGGGTTTCTTACTGGTCCTTCCCAGGACAGAGGTATTTTCCGAACAAGTGGTAAATAAAAAATGATTTTTGAAGTCGCTTAAAAATAATAGTTATTGAAAATAAATATAAGACGACTATGGCAAAGGTCAGGAAAATCTTGTGGTCTCCTTTACACTATGGTGTGCGATCTTATTGAATAAGATTTAAAACTAATCAAACCAGTGAGCACCGTGAAAGTTGCTACATATTTGGTGCTACCATCGGAAATGCCTAAAAAGTCGCCGAGCGAAGACCCGGCTCCGTATTTGGATGCGTGAATACAAATATCGCGTAAGTGACGCGCCTTAGCCCAATATCAAACAGTGGAGTTTAACAGGTGATAATTAATAAATGAAATATATTTTATTTTTATTTTATTTTTTAAAGAAAACATAACCTAAAACTGAAACTATACATATAAATATAAGATGGGGAAGCACTAGCAAGTCAAGAAACTCAAATTTCTCTCAAATAAATAGTTTTTTTTTTAAATTATATAGCTAATGTACAAAAGAAATAAAGGAAAAAGGGAAATAATTAAATTATTTAATTATACAAATTGGACAAGTTCTAGTTGAGAGCTAAAGAACAGTAAGATCAACAAGCACTATAGCGCACTTGGTTTTACAGACTGAATGAGAATTATTGATTTCTTATTTTAAAATTACTGCTTAAATATGTACTAACTTTAACATTTTAAATGTTATATTATTTTCGTGGATCCATATAGAGGATTTACTATGTAGTGGCGTAGTAAGAATATCCACTACTACATATCATCCCGTGGGTGACGTAAGAGACGATAGGGGGATACAAATCAGGGGCTGGACAGCAGCGCCTTCCTAATAACGCCTAATTTTAAAAAAAACTGCGGTTGCCAAGCCGTTTGTCAAGCGTGGCAACTATGGCAAACGTTCTCCTCTAAGGCAATATATGGGGAAGGCATATGTTTATTAGTTGACTTTATTAAGCTGTAAAATAGTTTATGATGTCCATACAAAAAGAAAATTTCATTAAAAACGGCTCTGCCAGTTTCACGTGATTACTCAAACGGAAATAAAATTGTAAAAATTGTTTAGTGGTCTTTTTTATATACTTAACATTTTCTTGATTTAATAAGTGATAATGTTATTTTAGTATTGTATATTGTTTTGGAAATTTTTAAATGTTTGTACATAAAACCTCAACTCAACCAAATGGCCAGTGGAAACGCGCTTTACTATTAACATGTAAATCAATAAATGCTTTGTATGCGTGAATTAATAAGCAGATATAAAAGGAAAAGGCAAGGATTACCAATTGAACATTAGAAGTAGTCAGCCGTTGACAAGATGACGTTCGTAACGCGTGTGTGGATGAAACTTACGCAAAATAAAGCCTTGGAAGAACATAGCGGCAGAATAGAGAAAATGTTTTTTGAATCTATCTATAGGGTCTTTTATATAACAGGTTTTTATGCACATTTCACATATATTTATAAAATTACATTATACAAAAGTATTTTTTGAAGCGTATCAATATTTTTTTTTGTCAATATGTACATGCAAGTAGAGTATACATGTTTAAAATAAAGTAATATACCAATGACATTTAGAGAGTTTATCACAAATTATGGTTTAAATATTTTCTTTTCATCAGTCTGTTACTGTCTACTTCTGTACATGGGCTTCTCAGTACACAACGATCGCCACGCTTGGTAGGGAGATTGGTGATCGCGTATCGCACACACCTTTGACGTTGCTTCCCATCGCCAATTTGAACTATTATACTTAGTCGGGTCATAAGTTCTGTCAAAACCTAATTATTTAAAATTTTTGAATACTGGCTAGATGAACTTGACCAATTTTAAAAATATAACGTTTACGCTTTTCGGAAATAAAAAAGACATTAATTTTCATTATTTTTAAATATTTTGTGGTCGAAGAAAGAAGACAGAGTAGCGATTATTGCGTTGCACTGTGGTTACGCGCTGAAAGAGATTTTCAATATTCTACAAAAATTTAAAATAACCCTACGATTTGTTTAACGCACTACCAAACGATTCAATAAAGATTTAAGCTTCGAAGATCGTAAGAGGACCGGCCAACCTCATACAGTTAGGACACCCGCGATCATCAAAGTAGTGAAGGCGTGAATCCAACGAAATCCTGTTCGTAAACAAAAAATCTCGCTCTTGAGATTGCGGCCTAAGCAGAACCACGGTCAAAAGAGTGATCAATGAAGACCTAGGACTACGAGCTTATCGTAAGAAGACCGGACATTTTTTAGAACGAGCGTTTCAAAAAAATTAGGCTGGATAGATCCCGCGCTTTGTTACGGTAGTACGCGGGAAAAAAATACCGCGAAATTTTGTTTTCGGATGAAAAAAAATTTAACATCGAAGAAAGTTATAATAAACAAAATGATAAGGTGTATGTCCACAGCAGTGAAGAAGCCAGCACGCGTATTCGAGGGTTCAACGAGGACATTATCCTTCGTCACTCATGGTTTGGGTTGGAGTCTCATATTCAGGCTTAACTGAGGTGTTTTTCTGTGAAAAAGGTATAAAAACCGGTTCCGAGGTGTACCAAAATACCATCCTAACAAACATTGTGGAACCTCCTTCTCAAACAGTGTTCAAAAAAGACATTGGATATTCCAACAGGACTGCACCAGCTCATAGGGCACGAAGCACGCAAAACTTGTTGACCGCCCGTGGAATTGACTTTATCGGACATGCAGACTGGCCTTCTTCTAGTCCAAATTTAAACCTGGATTACAAGATATGGCAACATTTGGAGAAAAATGTCTGCGCTAAATCTCATCAGAATTTATAATCACTCCGAGCATCTTTGGCTAAAGCAGTGGCAGAAATGATATTCTTGCGAGCCACGATTAATACATGGTATATGACGACACTAGTTACCACTAGCGCCCTCTAGTATCGAGTAGCAGAACTAGGAGAGTCAAGAACATTCTAGAAACTTCCATGGAAAACTTTCCAGAACTATCGACACCTAGTCAATCAGGACCGATATGTACTCGAACATTCTAGAAGTTTCTATAGCAGAAGGTTTCGGAAACTACCTGAGGCCCTATATAAGGCCGGTTTAGACCGCGACCTCCTAACTACGAACTACAGTGATCAGTAGTACAATTGTGTTTTATTATTAGTGTGGTTTTAAGTTGTGATTAGTGTTCTGTAATTAAAGTGTCAATTTTGGTAATTCAATCGGCAGTATTTAAATTGTCTCGAACCCCAAGCTCGTAACAATATGAATGTGGTGCGTGCTGCGATTGATGATTGGCCGCGTCGATTAAAGGCATGTATTCAAAATGGCGGAGGGCATTTTCTATAATTAAATTAAAATTAAAATTAAATTACCTTTCATTTCATATATAATTTCTATATAATTATAAAAAAGTGCATCATTAATTTTATAAAAAGTTTTTGACTGAACTTATGACCTGACTAAGTATATCTGGCATTATATTTTAATTAGCTCTACTGCAGGATATGTGACGTATTTTCTGAAATTTACCCACATTCAATAGACATGTTTGTGTGACAGTGACTATACATAATATATGTATGAATGAGTAATATTCTTACGAGGTATTGCTGCTTTGTATTTTTCATTTCCATTCATAACAGCCTTTTAAAAGTCCAATGCTGTACATAGGCCTCCCGCAATTAATGCCAGAAAGCACGGCGCTGCGCCAGCTGCATTAAGCTGCACCTGTAGTAAAATGAAGTGGCAAGGGGCGTGCATTATATATATATATATATATATATATATATATATATATATATATATATACATATATATTTATATAATACGAGCTGTATTGCAGTTGCGTAAGTCCCGTCGCATGCATTTGGAGATCTTTCTGTTGAGTTGCCTTAAGACTGCAGCTTCATTTTCCGTCTAACAGCCATGAGATTAGATGGTAACCGAACCTCCACTGGAGATTCTTAGCATACCCTGGGATAACATGATATCAGGTATTAGGTTCCATCATTGCCTCTTATTACAGCCACTAGACGGCATAGTTTTCATGCCCTACTTCCACCACCGCAAAACACAGCAATAGTAGAATTTAAATACTTATATTACAGGTTTATCTCATTCCAATACCAGTGTTGGATACTTTATATACAGCAGCATAATAAAAACTTTAAATTTACTACTGCTCTGTAGCGAAATAGGTCAATTCTTTCATATGACGTGGACTGTGGATGCAATAATTGACAGCGCAAATATAATAATAATACAATTGGGTACTCTTTACAAGTACTGCAATATGGTAAGCATAAAATCATTAGATATAGGAAAAACTTTGTACTGTCGTTTTTCTTTTTATTTTATGTTAATAACACTGTTATGATCAACATAAAACAATGTTACAGTCTTGGCTTGCAGCCAGCCACTCTGCTCCATTAGTGTGTAATAAGGCGGCTCTTCATATTGGCCAACATAGTGGCGAATGTGTTGGCAAAAATATTAGGCAAGACTTTGTGATGGCGTCCGCACGTTGGAAGGTCGTTCAGTTTGCTTTGGTTCAGGCCAATGTGCGGACGAATTTATTTAAATGGATATTGAGGTGCTAACACCTGCTGCGGTTTATTAATTCACAGCAGACCGCTACTACGTGAATGTGTATAAGAAAAAGTTGATGAAAAGGAAATGGAAAAAAATAAATTTTATTTCTTGTGTCAATGGATGCAGGTGTCTTGGGAACGTGCTTTGTGTTAATTAAGAGGATACCTATTTTTAGCGGACTTTATAAGGTCTAATGATGGTGATGATGAATAATTAAATGGATTATTTGAATTCACTTAATCGATAGGATTTGGCATATTCATAAGTTGAAAGGTATTGAAAGCAGTGAAAGAGCCTCCTCAATTGGCTTATTGAAGGTGAAAGAGTTATCACATAGTTTCACATATCACATAGTAATCACATAAGAGCTATCACACAAAGAATTATCACACGAAACCGATAAACCGTTGATTTCGTTTCGTTGTATAGTTTCACCCCCTTTCGGGGTTACACTTTAGCGAGGGACACACTGTATATTAGGTAACGTTCGTGTCCAATTAGTCCTTGGAATTTTATTTAATAAACGTCTATCTTTCTCGCAGTGTGGTGGCGGCATAAGAGAATACACTACCATATATCATATGTCATAGCATCTTAAGAGGGTTGTTAGGTGGTAGATCCATGCTGCAGCTATATTATAGTTGTAGCACGACTGGTTCGGCTGGAATGGAGAAGCGTCAAGTTCTTACAGAATACCAGCGTATAATAGGCTCATATGGCGAGTGTAAAAAACCGGAGACCCTTTTTACTGAAAATGAGTCATTCCCTCTTAGTGTTCAAGGATGACATAGCAACTGCATTTTGATTCTTAATCATGATGAATGAAGGTAGATGTCACAACCTGGACAACAGTATGGGCCAGAGCATGATCACTCTTATTCTGTAAAAAGGCGACAGAGGGAAAATGAAACAGGGGATGGGCGGCAGCATCTTTCAAGTAACAACTGAAAATAATAAAAAAAAACTACGATTGCCAACACGCCTGGTAAGCGTAGTATCTATGGCAAAAATCACCTATGAGGCAATATATGGTAGATGCTATAATGAAAAATATTTATCTTTATCTCTCGGATACATTTTACAATCAGTAAAATATAACAATAATAACATGTAGCTGCAAATTTTTAAGTAAGGCATTTATATTATGGTAATTCTGACTACTCAATCTAGCAACAATAATGGAGAAAACCACAATATAATAACAAAGTACCCTAATTTAGGTATCTAGCCTAAATTAAACACAACACGTGTAATGTATAGTCATTCTAACCACTTGTATGGTAAGAATGACAGAAGAAACCAGAATGCTATAATTTATGTATTCAGTCTAAATTAAAACCATGAATTTGTGTTTTTGTCTGCTGTCCCAGTATCTGATTTAGTGAGTTTTCTGATCTCTGAGCCACAAAGTCGTCGATACATGGGAATAAGGTTTTCTCATTAAAAGTCTCTGTGCAATATTCTATTTAAAATGAGTTATGCTTATTATAAAATATTGTATGTACATTAATAACCTAATAGCGAAGTTACTTGGATTTAATTTTTTATGTACAGATAACTCACCGAAAGGTTTTTAAAGCCTTGGCGATGGCGATGGAATCCCCTAATTTTGACATTTCAACTAAAGCAAGAAAAGATCTTTTGGCCGTTTGGGTTAAGAGAAACAGGATAAATACGATTTTTTTGCTGATGCTTGGAGTTATTACTCTAACTTCTTGGTAACATTTAAATTTTTTTCAAATGTTAGAGCGTTGAACGAGCAAACAGTCAACCTTTCTACACAATATTTTATAATCTTTTTATCATACACATAGCTGTCTATCACACAGCTATTTCTAACGTTGCTCATTTAACTTACTATATCAAGATCTATGAATTGGAACTTTAACTCATATTTTCATTTACACCTATTGTTTTTTCTTTAGTTCATATCATTTTGATAGATTGTATGAAAAATTAAAAGTAAAGTAAAATACTATTGGTAAATCCAATTGTGCATGACTTAAGCGCATTAAAAAATTACGTATAACATGATTGTACTTAATTTTTTTTAAGTAGTTTAAATAAACACAAGTTTTCACTAATAACCAACTATACTTCCAATTTTTTGATATCTTTATGTCAAACTGCAATTAAAAAAAAGGTTGGAAAATCCAAAAGTGCACGACTCACAATGCCAAATGATAGTGAAAAAATTAAAAAAAATGTAAATTGTAGTTCTTATCGTCAATGAGTTCCAGTAGCAGTCTACGAAGTACGAGTACACTTTGAAGTCAGTCCGTCAAGCCCGGAGGTAAGGTCTATTCTATATATCTATTATATTCTACAACTAACAAAACGAGGCTAAACTCGGCATGTCTAGTTCTCCTCGTTGAGGATTTCCAGTAGCAGTCATTAAGTACACTTTCAAGTCACTCTATCAAGTCCGGAGGTGTGGTCTCATCATAACTAACAAAACGAGCTCAAACTCGGCAAATCTAGTTCTCCTCGTCGAGTAGTTATAGCAGCAGTCATCAAAGTACACTTTCAAGGTACTCCGTCAAGTCCGGGGGTAAGGTCTACGTATAACTAACAAAACGAGCCCAAACTTGGCACATCTAGTTTTACTCGTCTATGAGTTCCAGTAGCAGTCATCAAAGTTCACTTTCAGCTCACGCTATCAAGTCCGGAGGTAAGGTCTCATCATAACTAATAATACGGGGTCGAACTTGGCACATCTAGTTCTCGTCGTCGAGGAGTTCCAGTAGCGGTCATCAAAGTACACTTTCAAGTCACTCTATCAAGTCCGGAATTAAGGTCTAATCATAACTAATAAAACGAGCTCAAACTCGACACATCTAGTTCTACTCGTCGAGGAGTTCCAGTAGCAGTCATCAAAGTACACTTTCAAGTCACTCCGTCAAGTCCGGAGGTAAGGTCTACGTCTAACTAACAAAACGAGCCCAAACTCTGCACATCTAATTCTCCCCGTCGAGGAGTTCCAGTAGCAGTCATCAAACTACTATTTTCAAGTCACTCTATCAAGTTCGGAAGTAAGGTTTCATCATAACTAACAAAACGAGCCAATTTCGGCACATCTAGTTCTACTCATCGAGGAGTTCCAGTAGCAGTCTTCAAAGTACGCTTTCAAGTCACTCTATCAAGTCCGTAGGTAAGGTCTCGTTATAACTAACAAAACGAAGCCAAACTCGGCACATCTAGTTCTACTCGTCGAGGAGTTCCAGTTGCAATCTTCAAAGTACACTTTCAAGTCACTCTATCAAGTCGGGAGGTAAGGTCTCATCATAACTAACAAAACGAGCCCAAAGCTCAGCACATCTAGTTCTCCTCGTCGAGGAGTTCCAGTTGCCGTCTTCAAATTACACTTTCAAGTCACTCTATCAAGTCCGGAGGTAAGATTTCATCATAACTAACAAAACGAGCCCAAACTCGGCACATCTAGTTCTCCTCGTCGAGGAGTTCCAGTAGCAGTCATCAAAGTACACTTTCAAGTCACTTTATCAAGTCCGGAGTTAAGGTCTCATCCTAACTAACAAAACGAGCCCAAGCTCGGCACATCTCGTTCTCCTCGTCGAGGAGTTCCAGTGGCAGTCATCAAAATATACTTTCAAGTCACTCTATCAAGTCCGTATGTAAGGTCTCATCATAACTAACAAAACGAAGCCAAACTCGGCACATCTAGTTCTCCTCGTCGAGGAGTTCCAGCAGCAGTCATCAAAGTACACTTTCAAGTCACTCCGTCAAGTCCGGAGGTAAGGTCTACGTCTAACTAACAATACGAGCCCACACTCGGCACATCTAGTTTTACTCGTCTATGAGTTCCAGTAGCAGTCATTGTTACGGCCTACGGCTGCTCCCACAAATGTCAAATCCTGGCTGGGGCCCATAGCAGCTTCTTCGACGGGCAGACGTAGGTCGGGCCTCAATATGGCCACGTGGAATATGTTCTATCACAATTAACTATGTATATGGGGGAGCGTTCTATACTACGGCCATTCAACAGGGAGAATATTAGACGGAGCTTACTTACCTATATCCAAGGCGACTGCTCCCTCAGGATTCGGTCAGGTCGCATATGGTTGTGTGGTGCAAGGGAAATTAGGTGCTGTGATGTGTATCTGGGTGTGACTGATGTTGATTGACCTTAGTAGACCTTTGCCATCGGCAGCAGCCCGGGCGTCAGCACCGCTCCAAATTGAGGAAATCTTCCGCGGCACCTTTGCCGTCACTGTTGCTAAAGAGATAGGCCTGTAATTGCTCTTATCTGAAATGTCTCCAGTCTTATTCTTCACTATTGGTACAACTATCGTTTTAATCAAATCTCTAGGCAGATACGCATGACTTATGCACAGTGAATAAAACATGGAGAGGACGAAGGTGACAACCAGCATACTGCAGATGTTCTATGCTGAGACCGTCATGTCCCGGAGACTTACCCCTAGACATACTTACGATTATCTCTCTGACCTGTTTAGCGGAAAATCTAATTGGTGTTTCTATTAGATTCAGCTCAGCATAGACCATCTGTTGTGAAGAACTGAGAGGAGACTCTACACTAAAATGTTCTTTGAACATATTGGCTATGGCCTTTGAATCATTCACTCCGTCAACGCTCATATTAGGTCTGGTTTTACATTTAATTTATTAGTTTCTTTCCAAAATTTCCTAAAATTATGTTCTATATGATGTGAAGCTATGATATCCATTTTGATTCTATCTTTATTATTTTGACACCAACGTAATTTTGATTTAAAAAAATTTCTACTTTCTACCATCTCATCATATATAGACCCATAAGTAGCTCGGTTATATTGCAACCAGATATGAAATTTTAGCCGAGCCTCCCTATGTGCGTTACTGACATGCTTATTCCACCCAGTTATATAATTTTCCTTTTCACTATTATGCCCATTCTTATCCTCTCTTGTTCGTTCTGCTGCCTCACTTAGGATATTAACAAAACTATTATACAATTTATCCAAACAAATTTTATGATACGAATTATTACAAAATTTATCACCACAATCTAAACATTCCTCCCGAAAATGTATTTTTCTTAATTTATTATTGCAATTATCTGTATATACTTTAATTTGATCTAATTGTCTCGTCCCCCATATAACTTTACTATGTAAGTTATTTGCATTAAGCTACACTTTAACCCTTATAAATTGTACATTTATTTCTATTATGAGTGGATAGTGATCCGACCAGAAAACACCATAGTCGATGTTAGCATTTGCTATCGTTTTTTGCGCTGACTGAGTGACGAGACAGTGATCTAACCATCGCCTACACCCATGAGCTTCACTCACAAAACTATACGAGCCTGAGTCGATACCTTTTATCTCAAAATCAGCACATATCCAGTTTTGATTTACACAGAAATTCATCATCTCCCTACAAAAACGTTCATTTGGATGTGCATTAAAATTTCCTAGAATATAAACAGTTTCTAATTTAGAATTTTCAACAATGGCATTTATTTAACCTAGGCACTGTGTCATTTCCAACAGGTTTTAATTACTGTCCGTGGGCATATAGATACAGACAATAAGTAAAGATCTGTAATTAAGAGTCATTTTCACAGCCGTAATCCGTGAACTAAAACACCAAATTACCGATACACTCTGAAAGACACTTTTTCGCCTTAAAATAGCGACTCCTCCTTATGGCCTTCCTCGAAGTATTTCAGCGCCTACATCTATTACCGAATTTCCCTTGTAACCAAAATCTTTGTGTATTTTCCATGAGATCGGAATGTCCCATGGCAGTAACCAGGTCTCTTGTAGAATTACACAATCGGCTTTCTCACATAAATCTCTTACATCTTTAAACGATCTTTTAATACTTTTACAATTAAAAGAAATTAGTGTTAAATTATCATTTTTACGATCCATTATGAATTATTTAGAATTATCAACAATGGTGGACCACAATCAACTTTGAGTGGTGTCTTAAAACTTGTTCTTTAGTTAAGTTAGATGTTTAGTACCTATTGAAATTTATACAAATAAGACGCTAAAAAGTAATTCAATTGAATAGTGTTTTAAACATCCAAGTACGCTGGCTGCAGAATGTTCTTGAGGTAGACTGTTAGATCGTTTAACGCTCTAACATAGATAAATATATATTTAATGTAACTGTTATAAATTGTCTTGCCTTGACTACTCTTGTCTTAAATGAAATTGTTGCAATGATTTATTTTCCAGGTATAGTTTCCCATTAATGGATGATATTGACTACAACTTGATGTTGGCAGTGTATGTTCCTTTCGATTATGAAAATCCTACAATGTATCCTATAGTTTACTTTATACTTGTACTTGTGTTTAGTTATGTTTCTTACGGGGTTATGATTATCGATATCATTATGCAGACGTATTTAATGCAGTTGTTATGTCAATATATAGTACTTAATGATTGTTTATGCAATATTGGAACGGAATGCGCAGAAAATTTTAAAGGTAACGAACATTTTAATAACAGAATAATCCATTACTTAACAGAATATCCATTATAACACATATTATCCCGTTAGTGTCGTAAGAGGCGACAGAAGGAAACAAATCAGGAGATGGGAAGTAGAGTCTTCCTAATAACGACTAAAAATAAAAAACTTTGCTTGCGAACCCGCTTGCCAAGTGTGACAACTGTGGCAAATATCTTCCCTATGAGGCAATCTATGGGGGAGGCCTATGTTCAACAGTGGACTTTAATAGACTATAACGGTAACGTTATTTATTGAGGATACTGAACAGCTTTATTTTATAAATTAAATTTACATACATTTAGAATATTTTCAGAATAGTCAGTTGACCAACAACGGATATCCAATAGATTACCTAAAATTATAATATCACAACGGGCACAACCAAGAAATTAGAATTATAATTTAATTTTTTACAAGATTCTAGTTCTGAGCTTTTTTTTTTATAGGAGAGGGGGCAAACGAGCATGCGGCTCACCTGATGGTTAGTGACTACCGCCGCCCATAAACAACCGCAACACCAGGGAAATTGCAGATGCGTTGCCGGCCTTTTAAAAAGGAGTACGCTCTTTTCTTGAAGGTCCCTAAGTCGTATCGGTCCGGAAAAATTGCTGATGGTTATCGATTCCACAAGGAAGTCGTGCAAGGAAGAAAACATCTTCTAAATCGCACAGTGGTGGACCGCCAATCGTGCAGATGGTGTGGATGGTATCGGGAGTTCTGCCGCGATGTGCGTTCGTGAAATTTGGTGGATGGGATTAATCCGAACAATTCCTCAGAGCACTCCCCGTGGTAAATGCGAAAGAAAATGCAAAGAGATGCAACATCTCTTCGCAGTGCTAATGAGTCGAGCCGATCGGAAAGGATTTGGTCGTCGACGATTCGAACCGCTCTGCGCTGGATGCGGTCAAGTGGAAGGAGCTGGCACTGGGGAGCCCCTGCCCAAAGTAGGGAACAGTATTCCATGTGAAGCCGAACCTGCGCCTTGTAAAGTTGCAGGCATTGTGCCGGCATGAAATACTGTCCCACTCTGTTGAGCACGCCAAGCTTTTTAGAGGCCAATTTCGCCTTCAATTCCAAGTGACCACGAAACTGCACGTTACTCGATATGTCGACGCCGAGAACTCCGATACTGGCTGAGGCAACAAGGGGAGTACCTTGAAACTGAGGAGATAAGACAAAGGGGTTCATTTTAGCGGTAAACGCGCAAACTTGTGTCTTCTGGGGATTAAACTGGACTAGATTTAGTCGACCCTAATCTGAGACTTTGTCCAGCAAAGACTAGACTTCAGACATAAGTTTGTTCCGGTACTTGGCAACGTTTTCCCGAGAAATATTGGCACGGCCGGTGTATAGAGCATCACCAGTGCTATCATCCGCATAACAATGAATGCTACCGGTTTGCAACATATCATTGATATGCAGAAGAAACAGCGTTGGTGATAGCACACAGCCATGTGAAACACCAGCGTTAATAGGCTTGTAGTCGGAGCATGCACCGTCTACAACGACCTTGATGCTCCGATCTGCAAGAAAGCTAGTGATCCAATTGCATAATTTCTCGGGAAGGCCATAGGAAGGGAGCTTCGCAAGAAGCGCTTTGTGCCAAACCCGATCGAAGGCCTTCGCAATGTCCAAACTAACGGCCAACGCCTCCCCCTTGGACTCTACTGCCTCCGCCCATCTATGAGTTAAGTAGACCAGAAGATCACCAGCTGATCGACCCCGAAGAAAACCGTATTGGCGGTCACTAATCAGCTGGTGATCCTCAAGGTACCGCATGAGGTGGCAGTTTATAACGGATTCCATTATTTTGGAGAACAAGGGGGTGATGGCGATAGGCCTGTAGTTGGACGGGTCTGAGCGTTTGCCTTTTTTAGGGATCGAGTGGACAAAAGCTGCCTTCCATGATTTCGGGACTAGGCCTAGGGAGTAGGAGTACCAGAAAAGACGCGTTAGGACCGGTGCCAACTCCGGAGCACACGTCCTCAGCACAATTGGGGGGATTCCGTCAGGCCCACTCGACTTGTGGATGTCCAGGGAGTGGAGTGCTCTGCGAACCGAGCGCTGTGAGAACCGCACATCCGGCATGGAGCACTCACACCGCGGGATGGTCGGCAGTGTGTTCCCCCCCATCATCAACAGTCGAGTTGGACGCAAAAAGGGAGCCTAAAAGATCGGCTTTCTTTTTTGCGTCGTGGGCCAGTGAGTCGTCCTCCCTGTGCAAAGATGGTAGTGATGGCTTACAGAAATTCCCTTGGACAGCCTTGGCGAGAAACCAGAATGCACGAGTTCCCGAAGGAAGGCGAACTAGTTTCTCGCCAATACTGCCTATGTGCTCTGATTTTGCCTTGGCAATAACTCTTTTGAAGGACCTGGAGGCGAAGTTAAACTTCTTTTTAAGTATGCTGGTGTTTACATCCCGAGTCGACGAAGCCGCAGCCCAGGCTTGATAACACTCCTGCTTACTGCGTAATGCAGTCTTACAAGAGCGACCAAACCAAGGCTGAGATCTGCCTCCGATGGGTACCACAGATGATGGAATAAATAGTTCCATTCCTTGTAGCACAACATCAGTGACAGAGTCAGCAACAGCGCTGGGATCATCCGGCGAGAAGCAAACCCGCCCCCATGGGTAGGAAGCAAAGAAAGACCGCATTCCGTCCCAATCCGCCGACCTGTAATGCCAAACACGACGGCAACCTGCAGAACGCAACCGCGAGGGGAGCGTGAGTGCCACCACACTCCGGAGCAGACAATTGTCCGAAGAGCCGAGAGAAGCATCGACGGAAACCTGATATCCGTCCGGATGAGAGGTGAGCAGAAGGTCCAACAGGGAAGGTGTATGATCCTTAACATCTGGAATTCGCGTAGGCGATGTAACCAGTTGTGTTAGACCATATGCCAAGGCAAAGTCATGAACAGATCTCCCCGCATGATCGGTTAAACGTGAACTGCTGTAGCAAGGAATATATAGCCATTTGGACGTGGTCGATGAGTCGGTCTGTTTCGGCATTACCGCTATGGGACCTATAGAGGCACCCGTAGACGCGCGGATGGTCATCGCTGTCTACGCGTAGCCAAAGGATGGACAGGTCCGAACCTTCCAGACTGCCGAGGCGTCGAGAACCGATGTCCTCTCTGACGTATACGCAAACTCAGCCCGAGGCACAAAGGAGTGCTGCAATTTGTACCCCGGGTAGGAGAGATACGAAGTATCAGCCGGAGAGGACACCTGCGTCTCGGTCAGAAATAGCAAGGCCGGTAGGTTCGAGTGAAGTCCCCTGATGTTGCAGAAATTCACGGATAGCATGGCGACCCCCTTGGACATGTTGCTCTGTTTGCCCCGAGAAAAGTTTGAGCTATGTTAAAAGTTTAAATATAGGCAAATATTCCCCCTATGAGGCAATCTATCGATGATGCCTATGTTCAGTAGTGGACTTTAATAAGCTGTTACTGTAATGGCAACGCTATTACTTAAATAGAGTAGGTAGGTAAGTAGAGACTAATGACTTCGAACTTACGGAAATATGAATTCAAAAAGTTTCTACTACTATTTAATTTAGCACGATCTTCACACACCTCTTTCGCTTCTTTAGGCATACATACTCTTCGATTAAGGGTAATCCTAATTTGGCCCATCTTCAATGTATCGCTAATTTGTACCGCATTCCTCGAGCAGTTATTTTACTTTCATATATCTCCTGCTACACCCAACTTTCACAACCATACATTAATGTACGGACTAACACAGCATTGTAAATTACCGTACATGCCTTTTTGACACATTTTAACTTCCCAAAATACAATAAAGAGCCACTTATTCTCTTTATCCTGCATTTACTCTTCATTCTATGTCTTTGCCATATCTAACATCCTTGCTAGAAACATAAATTTATGATTTATTACTGAAACATACCTGTGAGGTTTGGTGAACCGGCTATACGTACTCATTGCTTGTATAAATGATTATAGTTTTCTTCGAAACAATTATAGTAAATAGATTTTTGCTTCCAGGAATGAGTGACATCGAACTGCTTTATAACGACCAATTTAGAAAGAAATATAGGAGAAGATTAGGAGACTTAATAATTCAACACAAATTTATTTTGGAGTAAGGTTTTTATTATTTATTTAGAATTTTTAGTATATTATAATTTTATTTTGCTTAAAACATATTTTGGTTAATAAGATTATTTTTCAATATTTGAAATCAGAATACTGAGGTGAAACTTTATTAACAATGACACCAATAAAAATTAACTGTTGCACTTAAGCTTTCCGTAAGAATAACCACAAAGTGGCAATGCGATAAATATTGCATTCGTCAATCTGCCTACACAAATCCTCAATACTTAAAGAGTTTCATAAGTAAAAGTTACGTTTTATAATGTAATACAGTTTTAATTTCCTCACACAATCTGACAGAAAATTAAACAAATATTAAAGAAATCCACAAGATAAGTTTAAAATGCTGTGAATATAATGTTTTTAATTTATTTTGAAATTGGGTCTATACCGGCCTTATATAGGGCTTCAGATAGTTTCCAGAATCTTCTACTGTAGAAACATCTAGAATGTTCGAGTACATATCCGTCCCGAAATTTCTTGAAGGATCTTGACTCTCCTAGTTCTGCTACTCGATACTAGGCGCTAGTGGTAACTAGTGTTATCTTGTACAAGGCATTAATAGTGGCGCGCAAAACTATTATTGATTAACAAATACAAATATATGGTAGTAATCCATATATTTGTATTTGTTAATCATGCGTGTATTAAAATGAAGCGTCATTTAAAATAATATTTCTTTCACGGCAAGATAAGAAAAAGTGCAAGGGAGATGGATATTATTCCATCTCGCCGCACTATAGAAAGGGGGTCGTGACGGAAAATCTTACACTTTTTCTCGCCTAGCCCCCATCCGTCAAATTCGTACCGTGCGATAAGTAACTTCGTTCCAATAAAAACTTTAACTTTTTTTAGTATTGCATAATTTTCAGAGTGATCCACGTATAATAATAATATTAGTCTAG